ATAACATAGTTTGACAGTTTGATTATTAATATATTTAGTGTTTGCTGATTGGCTAATTGGACCCGGACAAAAAAGTGGGCGGTTATCAAATTACACTGCCAAACCCAGCAGGCGGTATTTTAGACCGCCTGCCATGCAGGCTAGCATGCAGTAGGCCCAACAGCACTTTCGAGAGACGTCGCTGAGTTTGATATTTTGTAATTTGACTTGCGGAATTTTCCCTCAAGAAGAATAAATTTTAGTCCGTTTCTTCGGTTTCAATGTAACGCTTGGGGTAACCCCCTCGTGCGTAAGACACGAAAGCCTTCCGATGTTTTCTCAGAAAGTCAACGATAATGTTAATTTTATCGTTTTAAGGTGTATATGCAACTTGTCAGAACTCTGGAGTACCGTGGTTGTCCTGTAAATCTATTGCAAAGTGGGCAAATGATGAATCTGAAAATTCAACATGGGGCCAATTTGGAGCGGCAGTTTCAGCTTCTTACGTTCAACATGTGCTCAAGAGATTTTTTATTCCAGACGAAGTTCAAGGTATGTACACAGTTACCGAAAATATGGAGAATAATAGGCTCAAAAACACCCGGATTAAAAATTTCGTAGTTAGTCTAAAATTAACATTTTTTGCGGTAACTTTATGTTCCTATTTAAATTTCCTGGTTAATTTAACCATAGTCCTGGTCAAGTTGATCACTATTGTGACTAAAGGCATTATGTTTGAATTAACCAGATCAAGACGCCGACCAGCCGCAGACTTATTGTCCCTTGTCAATGAAGGAGAAAATAATTTCAGATACACAAAGGATTTTCCTCATGAATAATCACCGACAATGAAACTAGCCGACTGTCGGTATCATATGGAAACCAGGCTTTGGTCCACCTAACCTGCATAATCAGGTTAATTCAATCATATAACCCGGTTAAAGCAACCAGGGAGGTTGGTTAAATTAGTCAGAACTATGATCAAATTAACCAGGTAAATTAACCAGAAAATGTAATCAGGAACATTAAGTGACCCCAATCAGTGTTAATTTCAGATTAACCAGGAATTTTTAACCAGGGTGTTTTTAGAAAGCACATGGATGTGTGGAAATATCAAATTAATTTCGAATGCTGACCAGAATCTCTTTGTCAACACAAGAAATACATTTTATATTTCCGAGCGTCCATGTATATTGTTCTGTTTAGTATATAATATAATTATCCTTGCCAATAATATATATATAAAAATGTTACTAGATTGTGATTGGTTTATTTCAGTGTAGTTAATATGAAACAGCATTGTAATATAAAATTCTCTATAACAGCGGTGCAAAAATTTGTAACAAACTGAACTGATTGGTGAAAAAACTATGGCAAACACTAAAATCAATTAATCAGCTTAAAGCAATCCTGAAGTAACGGTCACATATTGCTTCAAAACAAACCAAGCATGGCGGCCGCGCTACATAAGTAAAGTCGAGTTCGGCCGAAAAATATGACTTTTATTTTTTTTAAATGGAAAAGACTTTACTTAACAAGACCAACAAAACTTACACAGTTGAGTGAAATTTTCAAGCCGTTAGCAATGTTTAATGTGATAATAACAAATCAAGAAAACTTTGCCACTGCACGGTTCGCAATAAACGTAAGTCAATACCACAATTTTCTCGAGCATTTTTATGTTTATTATGTAACAGGATAAATTTGGATAAAACAAGCGCTCGTCAGTGGCGCCGTGGGACCCTTGTTTTTGGGGGGCCAAGGGCTGTTCTTTTCCGACAAACCAGAAATTTTTCTGGCGACCTCCCCCCCCCCCCCACCATCGCCAAAAAAATTTCGGTCAGTGTACCATTTTAGGGGTCAAAAAAATTTTCCGGACATACCAAAATTTTTCGTCACATCTTTAAATTTTTCCAGAAATCACCCATTTTCTCAATTTATCAAAAAATTTTCGAATTTACCGATGTCGGAAATTTTGCCAATTTCCGACGTTGTCAATTTTCCAAAAATTTCCGACAACATTCACAATTTTCCGACTGGTCTTCACAGGCTTCTTCTGGCCGACAACATTCACAATTTTCCGACTGGTCTTTCCGACTCCCCCCCCCCCCGGCCACGGCGCCACTGGCGCTCGTGAGTTTTTCAGACCTCGAATATCACTCGTCCTTCGGACTTGTGGTATTTTGATGCTCTTTGAAAAACTCGCGCGTCCGTGTTTTATCCAAATTGCACTGATCATATTACTTCTACAAAAATAGCAATGATTTAAATTATAAAGGCCGAGACACACCAGACGTGATTCGACAACGCGGCGCGATTTTTCGATTTTCATTGACCGATAACTTTGATCCAGGTTTAAGTGACCTTAAGTTGTTCAATTATTAAGAAGCGCTATAACATTCTGAATTATTTGGTCCGCATATCTTTTAAAATTGCCTTTCATAATAAATTTCAAAAATTGAGAAATCATGCGATTAGTGACGGAAAATCAATACAACACTCTATTTTATATATAATATAATGTTACACCTCACCTTAAATTGTCGAATCAAAACACAGCATTTGTGCTACATGACGTTGTAACTTTTTATCCAAATCTATGATTACGTAATGCAGCTTGAGATATCATCTGCCGCTCGATAGAACTAACAGTTGAAGGATTTTTTTGTAGATGGAAATTTGGAGCCCAAGATTATATTCAATTTTATACTTAAGGTTACAGGACACCCTTTTTGGCGTTTTGCGGAAAATCGCTACTGCGCACTCAATATCAGTCCGATTTGAATCAGTCCGATTTGAATATGCAAAATGTGGTAAAGTTGTAAAATTAACAAACAATAAAATAATATAAGAATTATTCAGGAAAATCTTAAAACGCGGTACCGTTACGCTTTTGAGTTGTGTTCCTGCTGGTTTTAAGTTATATTTATGAATATATCATTTTTATACAGTAAAATAGTTGTTCTAAAAAATTCTATTCGGAATTTTTTGTTTATTTCGTCATTCCGCTGATATGGCGATTTCTTTGACGACTGCAATATACTTCTGAATTCTTTGAGTGAATTGCTCTTTATCATTAAAATATCCAAAAATTAAAAAAAAGCCGAACACCATTTTGAAACTGACGTCTTTAGCTATGTCCTGTGAAAATTTGAGAAAGATTGGTCAAAACCCGCAGAAGCACAACTCGTTTGAAAATCAGTAATTACCGTAAAATTCTTCGGGAGAAAATTGAATTTGAATATTACATTTTCAATGTTTTTCTTATTGCAGCGAAATGTATTTTATTAAATAACTCTGCGAGTTTTCAACATTTTTCGTTCAAACTTGGTCAGATAGTAGAATTAGTCTAATGCTTTCATGGAAACCAATAAAAAAATTTTAGGCAAAATTAACCCTCAAAGGTGTTCTGTAACCTTAACCAGGAGCAGGTGCGAAAAAGGCAACTATAGGCCCCCTGGCAGGAATTGGACCTGCGGCCCTGCGATTCCGGTACAGCGCTCTAACTAATTAAGTTACAGATTTCAGTTTGTTGCCGAGATCAAACTACAAGTTCTTGTATACATACAGTATAGTGGGTGATGTACCGCCGAGTCGTATGCACACCCTCGTAATGGGTACAACTACCTTTTTGAAATTTCCAAAATCAAGCTAGAGCTTCGTTGCTTTAGGCTCTTTCGCCCACATTCTTGCAGATAACGGCTACAGTTTAACCGTATTCTCTGTATTTAACCACAGTGTTTGACAAGTCCGTGCCCAAGCCCTGCCTTCCTCCCATGGTGCCCCATTTCATTGGTCGACAACAAAAAGTTGAAGATATCTTCCGTGTGCTGACGAGCCCAGCTGCTAGGCTAGTCTCTGTATCTGGACCTCCTGGTTTTGGCAAAACTTCATTGGCTATTGCAGTAGGACACCAACTTAAACAGCTCGGACTACCAGTTTATTTCCTTTCCTTGAGAAGCGTCAAGACAGTGGAAGAGCTGATCTCTGATCTGTTAAACACATTTGCGCATACGTCGTCTGATGTAACGGGGCGAGAGCATTCAAAACTATGCGGATTCCTTAGTGCAATTCCTTCCAATATTTGTATCATCCTCGATAACGCCGATGTCCTTTTTGAGAGTAGTGGTGAAACGAGCCAAAATGTTTTAGAGCTACTGGAAATGATATTTTCTGATTGCAAAAATGTTTCCTTTCTATTGACCACAAGGACGAGTCTTCAGTCAGTGTTGGGAAGAAAATTTGGCGATCACATGTCTGTCGGTGTTGCATCGCTAGACAGGAAATCGTCACAAATGCTTGTTCAAGAACTTGTCCCTGTTGCTGATGAAAGTGAATACTGCAGACTTGCTGAGGTTTGTGGAGACGTTCCGCTGGCCATCAAACTTTTGTGCGGTCAAATCGTTGACGAGAAGAAGAGTGCTTCTCAATTCCTTGACCATTTTAGCTGCTCTTCAAAAACGGTAATAGGGTTGTTAGATGATCCAGATGCGCCTAATGATCAACGTTTAAATGTCTTGTTCGAGTCTTATTTCAAAAGACTATCTCAAGAAGAGCAAGAAGCATTTGTTTGTCTTTCAGTTTTTGTCAGTGAAGTGTTCGACGAGCAAGCTGCAGTAAACGTCATTGGAGGAGATGAAAACACAGCAAAGAAAGCGTTGTTGAGGCTGAAGAGAAAATATTTGGTTGAAGGAAATTCCTCCGAACCAGTGCTGTTTTCTTTTCACCCTCTGATCAGGTCATTTGGTTTCGAAAAAGCAGCTGGCATGAAAGAAATTGCTCGCGAAGCAGAACGGCGATTCTTGAGTTATTACGTCAAGTTGTTTGAAGATTTAAATAACCAGTTTCCTGCTGGAAATTCTCTCCTCGCATTTCACGATTTCGAATTTAACAAAGAGAATATAGTGCATAGTCTCTCCGAAGGTGTTCAAAACGAGGCAGTCCGTGACGCAATTTTCGATGTTCTTTCCGATGCGGATCTGTTTTTGGACACCATTTTTTACTTTGAACGTGGCTGGACGTTTTTCAAAATTTATAATTTAGCAATAGCCAAGGCAAAAGAGCAACGTAAATTTAAAGCTGTCCACCAATTGTTAATTGCTAAAGCTGTTGGTGAAATAACCTGGTGTGATGGAGCCGCATTGTCATTACTAAAAAAGGCCGAAGAAATAGAGAAGCAAAATACTCTTCTTATTTCACAAGTTGTGATGGGAAAACGAATGTGCTATCTTGGTATTCACTTGCTAATATATAGGGCGGCAGTGAAAGGAGGCGAATTTCTTGAGAAAGGGGTATCTCTGTTGAGTTCTGAAAATGCTATACTCAGGGTTTTGAGCTTCCAGATTTTTGCCTTGTTTACTGCTAAGAGAGAAAAGTCTTCTTATTACCGGAACATTGTTTTAACTGAATGCGCTAACAGACCATCCTTGTATGCTTTCTTCAAAGCTATTGAAGAAGATGATTGCGATGACGAGAAAGAGAATGAAAACCCAAAAACTGTAAGTCAACCACTCATTTTGGCGCTTGCTCTTCTCATCAACTTTATTGCGAATTGCTTTGGTATGCAAGAGGTAATCTATAAACTTGAAATGCCAATCTCGCAGTTACAGAAAGAAATCGAAGCCGAAGCACAGAACGACCGTCTATACTTGCCACTACTGTTCATCGCGGAAAACACCCTGACAAAAGTAAAAATAGAGCAAGAGAGTGCAGCAGCTATGCAGCTCGCTCTCGATAATTTTATAGAAGAAAACGGTCGGCTAAACCCAGATACAGCCGTAAGGTACTATTACATCGGAAGAACTCTATGCAGACAGGAGAATTGTGACGCTGCTTTGACATCTCATTACGAAGCACTAGATATCAGATTGAAGCTTTTTGGGAACAACGCAGATACCGCCGAGAGCTATTATCAGATTGGTAATACCCAATTTAATAAAAAAGATTACGAGTCAGCACTGCAATCGTTACAGAAAGCACTTGCGATCAGACAAAATCTTCATGGGAAAATTCATCCAGACGTTGCCCGAGCTTGTTTTAGCATTGGAGCGACAAAGCATTGCTTGAACGAGTACGATTCAGCTGTGCATTGGTACCAGCGCGCCCTCGATATTCGAGTGGCGCTCTATGGAAAGGAACATCCAGGTTCCGCTGACAGCTACCACTGTATTGGCGAATCTCAGTGCGAAATGGAAGATTATGATTCTGCTCTGGAGTCATGTCAGCAGGCACTTGGTATCAGGTTAAAACTTTTTGGACGGGAGAGCGAAGATACAAGTAACAGTCTTCGTCAAATGGAATTGATACGAAGTAGAATGAAATTTTAAAGATCATCTCACGAGGTACAGTAACACAAACTGGTGCTTGAAATGAATCAACTAATAAAAGAACACGATTATTTAAGCAACATATGCAGTGGTTTATAACAACCAATTAATTAACATCAGAATTTCCTCTAGAGAACATGCACGCTATAACTTGAACTTTCATCATTAACTGTTTTGTGTTTGCAATTGCCAACTTATTTTAGCCGGTGCAAATCATTTGGTCATAGTTATAAATATACACGAGTTTGCAAAATAAATTATAAGATCGTTGAGTCGGTGTTCCTTGTTCTTCACAAGTGCTACGAGGCTTTATTTAGGTAGTGAATCGTTACAATCAATCTATAGTTTTTAATGTTCGTCTTCGTGGAGTAGTTTCCTAGGTTCACTTCAGCCTTCAACTGGTTTTCACGGTTCGTGATCTGTTTCGTTAATTTCTTCGTTTTGTCTTGTTTCGTTTGAGCTTTCTGCAACTTTTCATACATAATTTTTACTTCGTTGAGTCCACTGTCGACTTTCACTGTGCACGTTCTTTTATACTAACGGTTGAGGGATCTTTGTACACGTGATGTAGCAAGTGGTGTGATTTGTATCCAGCCAATCAACGTTGAGGTTTAAAAGTGTGGGTTGGCGTTGTTAGCTCGTTCCAGCCCTCAAATTCTGTTTATTTAAGGCGTTGTCGCACTGGTCGAGTCGGTTCGCTGTGAAATCGATCAATGCCAAAACAGGTTCACAACTTTAAATACTTATGCAGGTCTTATAGTAAAAACTTCAAACTATACCTATGTGAACCTTACTTGACCTACTAACCTAAATTTACTCGTAATTTTATTGAACTAAGATTCTAATGACGTAACATTTTAATTGCATGACCGAGTGTTATCCAGCTTAGAATGACTCATATTTTACGCCTGAGTCTGTCCACGTGAAAAGGTCGATGTTCATGAGACCCAAGGCAGCTGCCCTGTTTAAACAGATCTGCCCACAAGACAAACTATAGGAAACAGGTCAATCAAAACATGACATCTTCGCATGCACAATGACAGCTAGTTCAACAAGCTGTCACAGTCTAATGGAAGAAATAATCAATATTTACTTTATTTTGACATGTGCCTAAATATCCATTATCTCTTCTCATTAGGCTTTTAGTAATATTTACTTGCACGAGCATTTAACCTGCTCTCAAGCAAACATCTTGTGTTATTTTTATTTTTAACCTAAAATTTTATGTATAAGTAATAATGTTTCGTAACACAAGGATGTGTATCAATAGACGACTGGTAAAGTCTCTGAAATGCGCACTCTGGTGGCATATTTAGTTACATGCTGCCAACGGGCATTTTCTTTATAACCTAAACATTGGTGAAGAACACTATATATGTTGGCACCTCTGATTTTGGCTTGATAGCCAAAAATTTGGGAAATTTAAAACTTTGCCTAGTAAATTGCCAAGTTGCACTAAAAATGCAAAATTTTCAAGCCGGTTTTGAGTTAAAGAATTTTGAAGTTGGCGAAATAGTAGCTATTGGCGGAAATTTGCGCATATTCTTAATGTTTGAGGGTTAAAGTGCATGCCCGTAACCCCAAATTTATTTTCAGCTTATTAAAAGTAAAGATTTTCAGTTTGCGTTAATAATTAAAATGAGTTTTTCATTTTCCCGACAGTAATAAATATTGTATTAAATTGCCACGGAATTTAAATTGGGCTGATACTAATCGTGTTTGCATTATAGCGCGTTTGTTTTGTCGAAAATAATGATTTGAAAGATTTAACGTCTGCGCTAATAGTAATATTCAGTTTAGTACGCGTGACAACAAGTGTATTCGTACGGCCTGGTCGTTTCTTGTTTGAACATATAAGTTGTAATATTCCTCAAATAAGACGATAATAACTTCGATCACCATGATGACTTTCAGTTCACAGTTTCAGTGGCAAAACTCGCGTATTTATTTATTAGTGAGTATATTGAGTAGCTCGCGTGACGTCACAAATTGATGGTAGACCCAGACTCCCCGCTCCCGTACCCGACGTCCATTGGCCAAACAACCTAGAATTCAAGTGGTTCTAAAACGTGTGCTTTTCAACCAAACGCAAAATTTTTTGCTTTTAGCTGTTTTACTGGTAGCATACTTTTGAAGCAAACTGAAAATCAATTTTGGGGTAACCGGCACTTTGGAAACTCAAAATCGGTTACGAAAATTATACTACTCGCCTAAATGTCTCATATATACTTTGTGCAAACGTTCTAACAGTGCTCAAAACATTTTGAATGCTCACTCGTAAGTTCGATGAATATATATTAGCCATACATGTGCTGTATTGCAAAATAATAATTGCAAAAACTAAAACACTCATGAATAAGACATTACGCTTACCACGATGTTTTTCTTTAGATCGCAGCTAATATATTTGTTGCGAATGCCTGGTCGCAAAATTTTGGGGGTTTTAGGAAAAAACACGCGACGCAATTTTCTAAAAGTCTACAAGCTACAAGCAACAGTTAGGTTATATGACTTAATGGAATTGATACGAAGTAAATTGAAGGTTTGTGCTAAAAAAATCAGGGAAATTCGGGCAGATTTATCACAGAATAGGTTCAATTCAGGTAATTTCATTACAATCCCACAAAAAAATTCGGGCAAACTTACAACTATCCCCCGGGAAAGTATCAGTCCCCGTACCCCTATGAATGAACCAACTTATAAAAGAACACGATTAAACAACACAGCTAGCGACTTATATTAACATCAAAATTTATGGTTGAGAACATGCAAGTTATAATTTGAACTTTCATAATGCAATGTTTTGTGGTTGAATTGCATATTTCAGCCAGTGCAAATCAGTCATGTTTTATTCTGTCTGTCAACAGGCATTTTGTAATAATACTAGAGAATAAATTATTTTTGACACTAGTTATAATTATATACGAGTTTACAAAAAAAATTATGTGATAGTTGAATCCGTGCTAGCTCTTCATAAAGATGCAAATTAACTAACAACCAACTTTCTGAAAGGTGCATTCTAGTGGCATTTTTTGTTACAAGCTGCAAACTGGCATTTTCTTATAACTTAAACATTGGTGAACAAGACTGTAACAGTCTGTACCTCTGATTTTGGCATGATAGCCGAAAATTTGAAAATTTTTCCTAGTAAATTACTATGTTGGACTGTTGGCGTAAATTTGCGCGTTTTCGTAATTTTCTCGGCTACGAAAATCATACTACTCGCCGAAATGCTTGTTAACACTGATCTTGAAATTTTCTCTTTTTTGTCAACATAGTACTTCAATAAGTAAAATTGTGAAATTCTCAAATTCTCCGCTATAGCCTATAAAGCCAAAATCAGTCGTCCGTATTCCATACATCCCAAGGAAGCCAAGAACCATGGCAATTATATTGCTCAAGGCTTTTATGTATAAAGTCCTAATTTTTTTAGGCAATACTAGGCCCATAAATAATCGCATGGTATTTAGCGTAGATATAGTGTTTAAATGTCCCTGAAACCCACGCAGGGAAAGTTTTTGTCAAAGACCCGAAAGAACTGATGTTCTATATGCGTTATTGGCTGTTCCCTTCAATACATTTTCAAGTTTTGTTTTCGATAGTGACGATATGTTTTCTGACTGTACAGTTTGGCTTTAGAGGAAATTAATTTTCTGCGCAAAAACTGCTCGAAATTCTGGAAATCTGCGCAAAATTTTGCAAAGTGTAAAGACAAAAACACTTCCTGACTGCAGGATACTTTGGTCTGCCGGTCTATCAAAATATCTGACATTTCCGCGCATTTCCGCGCATTTTTCGCAATTTGCTCAGCAAATTAATACTTAAGGTGGCTCGCTACAGTTTATAGAAATGTTGAAAATGCGTCAACTAGATCACCTTTTTGAAGAGATGATGCTCTTTACAAATCGAAATTTGTATATTATATATACAGCGACAATCAAACAGTCGAAAATTGGTCAGAAAACTGACGTCACCACTGTTACTATGGCAACAATGACGATTTAAGATGGCCGATATTTTGGCTTTGAACGCATTTTACTTTAGAAAAAGGTCGGTTACCCCCATTTTTTATTTCAGAAAACATTTTCTTATTGTACAATACACTATCTGACCAATTTTAAAAAAATTCTGTAATGCCAAATTTTTAAAAAATTTATAAACATGGTTTTTCGAAATAAATTTTTTTTGTATTACAGAATTTTTTTAAAATTGGTCAGATAGTGCATTGCACTGTAAGAAAATGTTTTCTGAAATAAAAAATGGGGGTAACCGACCTTTTTTAAAGTAAAATGCGTTCAAAGCCAAAATATCGGCCATCTTGA